TCTCGCCGCCGCCCTTGACTTCCCTGTTCCCTCCCCTCCCTCGGGTCGCCGTGGTTACCGAGGACTGCAAGCTGCTCGGGCGAGCGTGGGGCATTAAGTGGGAGAAGGAAAATTAAAATTAAAACTCGCCTGAAGGCCGCCTCTCCGGATATCTTTCGAATTTTTTAATTTTTCCCGCGGCACACCAGGCAACGTCTCGCGGCACACTAGTGTGCCGCGGAACACTGGTTGGGAAACACTGGTGTAGATTTAGGTAAGGATATTAGTTGCAGCTGAAATTCCTTGATGGATAAATCTACATTCGTGCTTTCAGACATGGGGTTGTCAATTAACAGTATTTTTTGCTCCATAAGGCGCACCGGACCATACGGCGCACCTAGTTTTTAGGGGAGGGGGGAATCAAGAAAAATCAAGAGTCTTGCTCTCCCGGCTTCAGCAAAAGGAACCCGAAGCCTTCGGAGCGCAGCGCGAGTTCCCGCTGTGCTCCAAAGGCTTTAGGCGGCTATCCCTGAAGCCTGGAGAGCGAGAGGGGTCGGTGCTCACCGACCCCTCTCGCTCTCCAGGCTTCAGCAAAAGCAACGCGTAGCCTTCGGAGCGCGGAGGGAGCGCTCCCTCTGCGCTTTGGAGGCTTCGTGTTGCTATCGCTGAAGCCAAGGAGCCTGCATTCGCTGCATAGGACGCACACACATTTCCCCTTAATTTTTGGAGGGGAAAAAGTGCGTCCCATAGAGCGAAAAATACTGGAAAGGACGAGCAGTTTGCATGAGCCGTTTTTCTTTCGGGGAAGTCACACCCAGTACACAAGGTGTAGGAAGAGGCACTTGAACAGTATCACGGCAGAAACGGACCTTTGCATCACGCTCGCATTTGCAGCGCCTTAAGTCACAGGCTTAGCCAAGCGCCGTTTTGCTCAACTGTCCCCCTCCTCGCCAACAGAGCGGGAGAGAAACACCAGCCCCGTTCGCCCACTTTTTTCTTCCGGCAAGTTGCAAATTGAAATGAGAGAATGCAGGCATCTTGGGGGACTTTTTAGTTTAGAGAAAAGACCCCCCCCCAACCTAGATGGCTTTGAAAGAGGATTGGGCAAATTCTTACACTGTCCCATGTCTTTCTTCTTTGGCGACCCCTCGTAGCCGAGTAAGATTGTCTTCCATAAACATGGTTTTAACAATGAGTCCGTAAGTGACTGTGGAAGCCAATTCTGGACCCACACGTCCTTCCATAGTGGGGACATTGGTTTCCGGGCGGGAGTTGATCACGGTGTGGATTTGCCATGTGCGCCTTCCTCCTAGCACGTTTCTCCCTTGCGTCCTGAGTTCGAGTGCCTTCAAAGCCCACGACACCTTTGGTAAAGGCTGTTCTCCAACTGGAGCGCTTGCAGGCCAGTGTTTCCCAGTTGTCAGTGTTTATACATTTTTTTTTAGATTTGCCTTGAGACAGTCTTTCAACCTCTTTTGTTGACCACCTGCATTACGCTTTCCATTTTTAAGTTCGGAATAGAGTACAGTGGTACCTCAGGTTAAGAACTTAATTCGTTCCGGAGATCCGTTCTTAATCTGAAACTGTTCTTAACCTGAGGTACCACTTTAGCTAATGGGGCTGCCGCCACACAATTTCTGTTCTCATCCTGAAGCAAAGTTCTTAACCCAAGGTACTATTTCTGGGTTAGTGGAGTCTGTAACCTCAAGCGTCTGTAACCTGAAGCGTCTGTAACCCGAGGTACCACTGTAGCTGCTTTGGAAGACGATAATCAGGCATCCGCACAACACGACCAGTCCAACGAAGTTGATGTTGAAGAATTGTTGCTTCAACACTGGTGATCTTTGCTTCTTCCAGTACACTGATATTAGTTCGCCTGTCTTCCCGAACGATGTGTAAAAATTTCCGGAGACACTTGATGGAATCACTCGAGGAGTTGGAGATGGTGGTCCAATATAAGTGGTCCAAGGTTGGTAGTACAATAGGTTTGTAAACAAGCATTTTGGTTTCCCTGCGAATGTCCCGGTCCTCAAACACTCTGCACTTCAGTCGGGAGAAAGCCGACTCCATCGAATGACATCACTCTGTACCTAGCTTTGAACGGTGAGCTTTGGTGACGACAACCCCACCTCCCTAAAAACACCCAAGGTAAATCTTGGAAGCCTGAAATCTACCCACCCTTTTCCTCCACCACTGCTAGTATCCACAAGAAGAGTTTGGATTTGATATCCCGCCTTTCACTCCCTTTAAGGAGTCTCAAAGCGGCTAACATTCTCCTTTCCCTTCCTCCCCCACAACAAGCACTCTGTGAGGTGAGTGGGGCTGAGAGACTTCAAAGAAGTGTGACTGGCCCAAGGTCACCCAGCAGCTGTATGTGGAGGAGCGGAGACGCGAACCCGGTTCCCCAGATTACGAGACTACCGCTCTTAACCACTACACCACACTACACACAAGACATGTCTGTTGTAGGGTTCGTGTTCCCATCACCAGCCGTGATTGCTGGCCATGCAGGCTCGGCCTGGTGGGATTTTGGAGTCCAGCAACACCTGGAGGAAACCAGGTTCCCATTCCTGCTTTATTTATTTATTGCACTTAGGGGAGGAGGTGTTAGGGGAGGAGTACCTCTGGGAGGGGGACATGTACTGCTCCTTCTGGGGTGGTCTGTGCACCCCTGGTCCCCACCCTGCACTCAGCTCTTACCTGTGGCTCCTAGCAGCTGTCAGCGTGTGACAGCAGCCACACCCTGTGAACGGCTTCCACTGGCCAGCTAAACCAGGTGAGGGGAGCCGATGGATCTCAAACCCTCGGGGAGTTATGGATTTCCTCTGCAGGCAGGCTCTGGTGGCTTCTGCACCTGCTGTAGAGGGAAGTGAGGAGGAGATGGGGATTGTCCACCTGGGAAGGTAGCTCATCTAGCAGAAGGAAAACTCCTGATCCTAAACCTACGCTGCCTGTGGGATGGCAGCTGGATGCTGCCTTGTGCCCAAGCTTGCGCCCAAGGAAGTCCTTTCAGTGCTGCTGGTGAAGCAGTTTGGTGTCACCCCTGGTGGCGCACTCCATTGTCTCTCAAGGCAGACGGGTACCAATGTTTACATTTGCATCAGGTCACCTAGGCCATTTCAGCAGGGACGGCGTAACCGGTGGCACTCCGATGTCATTGAGACTCCACACACTTCGAGCCAGCAAGGCCAACAGTCAGGAAGGATGGGTGTTGCAGTCCTCACAAGATCCCTAGCTTCCTTCCGTAGAGAATGAAGGTTGAAATTGGGCTTTCCCACTCATGCCTGTTTTAACCCACGAGCATCCATTCCGTGGAGCTGAGACCAGGGTAGTGGACTTTGAATTATGGTAACCTGGGTTCAGCTGAGATGGTCCCTCTGGGACAATTGTCCCCCCCCCCCAGCCTCTCTTTTCCTCCTCCATGAAATGACATTAATTACAATTTATTGACGGTTAATGGCTGCAAAAAGTGTTCGCTCGTTGAAAAGGCTGAACTGCAGCGGCTGCAGGAACACAGGCACACTCTTAGGACAGCGTAACCTTGGTCACAAACACCTTATTCTCTGCCGAAGCACCTGTGCCACGAGACAGAAATCCCAACAAGTGAAGCTTTCCCTGGCAGGGAGGGGAAACTGCCCCGGCTGAACTTCGGCCTGTTGCGCAGCTACCAGAGGGACATAGACAACCTGCGAAAAGGTTATCACTCTTGCCGTGGGGCTGGAGAGGGGAATATCCTGTTCCAGAACAGGATAAGGAAGAGTGGAGTCAGCCCCGGGCGCCAAGAGTCTCTTATGGAAACTCTGCGTTCTGGGGAGGAAGGAACCTCGGATAAGATAACACGGCTGCTGGCGTGTACAAGCTCCCCATTGTGATGTGGGAGCAAAGAGGAGCCAAAGAAGACAAGACCCCGATCTATCTATAGATACCGTTTCCTGCACTGTTTTGCAGCTGATGGAACAGCCGCACGGGTCAGCTTGGGAGCAAATCCTGCTGCTTCTTCCCAGGGAACTGGTGGCAAAGGCTTTCCCTAATAAAAAATGTCAGCCGCTGAGATCAAGATGGCACCTTTTCAGATCCAGCTGGTAAATTAAACGCCCCTGTTGCCAGCAGGGCAGCAGAATGGGTTCTGCAGTGCACCCCACAAACGAATGCAGTCTCGAGGGCTGGACTCCACCTGCAGCAATGGCGCCATTCCTGTTTCCAGCCCTTGTGGTCTGAAAGAACATTGGCGGCGTGTGGGGTGGGGAATACATAAGAGAAATTTTCAGAAGGCAGAGTTCAGTTGCCAAGGGCTAGTCGATTCAGCGATCTATTGCCCTGGGGTCCTCATCTAACCAAGGCAGAATCTTGCAAATAAGTCATGCAAGTTACAAAAGGCATTTTTTTCTTGTTCAAGTGATGTTTTTTTTAAAAACAACAACAAAGCAACAAAGCATAATTTCTACAGCCCTCTTGAAAATGAGCTTAGAGTAGCTGAAATGCATTTTTCCTAGGGACTTCTTTGTAAAATTTAATGTTATATTTGTCGCCATTTAGGGGTGGGCTTTGCCCCTGCTGTTCACTACACTGGTGAGTGCTTTCAAAGGGAAAGTGGTGGTGGTGAAACCCCAAATCTAGGCAGCTGCAGAGGCACTGAATGTAAGCTGGTGTTTTTGGCTGTATTTTGAAATCTCATTGGAGCCTCTGCTAGCTCTCCATATCGAGATGGAAATATGTGATGGGTATCTGTTCCTGTGCTGTTTAGCTCTCTCCCCCTGCTCCCACACTGCAAATCAGAGAACTGTAGAGTTGGAAGAGACCCTCTGCAAGGCGGGAATCTCAACTGAAGCATCTGAACTTGCCAGCCAGCTGATACCGGGGACCTTAGGGGGAGGGTAATAAATAAATCCACCATCATGTTCATCAGTGGGGATGACCAAACAGAACTCCCCAGGATTCAGCAGGCCACAGAGGTAGCAGCCCAAGGTCTGCCCGTGGCCCCCACGAGGTCCAAGCGTTACAAGAAAACAAACCCACAATAATTCAGAACAGCAATGGGATTCTTTTCCAGATTTAACAAACATTTGACAAACGCAAACATTAAGTCCACCCCCTTTCCAAGTCCTGGAGATGGGGGTGTGTGTGTCCTGTTTCACAGTGCATGCACTGGTCCAGTCCAGCTTTGCCAGGAAAGCTTCATTCCCTGGCAACGGCCTAGGGAAAACCGGGGTCTATCCAGGAAGGGAGGAGAAACGTCTCTTGCGCTGCAGCAAACCGGGGCCTGAGTCCCTTCCCCGCTTCCCCCCCCCAAAAAAAAGTTTGGTCAAACGTTGGAGGCCTGCTGCCCTCTGGCGGTGCATCAGAGGTACTGCAAGGAGGCCAGGCTCTCCAGCTCCACCTCGATGGAGACAATGTGATGTCCTGGAACCATGGCCAAACCCAAGACTCTGGGCTCTCCGGCGGAGAAGGAGTCTGCAGAGCAAAGGAGGGAGAGGGTGAGAAGGAGGGTCCCATCTGCTCCTAATCCAGCCTTGGGCCCTCCAGAGGCTTGGGGCTACAGCTCGCAAGGTGCTGGCTGGCACTGATGGGAGTTGTAGTTCCAAGCGCCTGGAGGGCCCCAGGTTGGCAAAGGCTGTCCTCATCTGCCGGGCGCTTAAAGGCTCCCTCCAAAGAACACAGGGGCTTCCGTCCCCCAAGCACATGCCCCTCTCCTCTTCAAGAGAGGTAAAGGGACCCCTGACCGTTAGGTCCAGTCGTGGCCGACTCTGGGGCTGCGGTGCTCATCTTGCTTTATTGGCCGAGGGAGCCGGCATACAGCTTCCGGGTCATGTGGCCAGCATGACTAAGCCGCTTCTGGCGAACCAGAGCAGCACACAGAAACGCCATTTACCTTCCCACCAGAGCGGTACCTATTTATCCCTCTTCAAGAAGCCCCCTTGAAATTCTGTCTTGCCAGGAGAGCTGCTAAGCCCCACCAACCCTCTCCTGCCCCCCAACCTAATTCTTCCGCTATTAGTACTTAAATCTTTTTCTCTGTTTCACTCTGCTATTGCATGAGTTTTTCCTCAATAGCCACAATCGGCTTACAAACAAAAACAGGTGGAAAGCATTAAACAGGAAATGAATAAAGAAAGAAAGCTGGTGGGACGATGGTGGAGACCCCAGGTGAGAACTAACCTGTGGGCTTGAGGTACTCCTGGGCGGAGCCAAGGATCACGTTGCAGTCTCGGTCGGTGCACAGGAAGCAGCCCACCAGGGTCCGCCCGTCCGTCATTCGGATGCGCATGCTCTTGTTGAGGAGGTTCTCCAGCTTCCGGCGGGCATGCAGGTATGGCGTGTCAGCTTTTTCCTCACCAGAGTCCTGGCAGAAACATTCAAAGGGTTAGCCTTCGCAGGCCAGAGGGATCTTTCCATAATACTTCGTAGGAAGAAATGCATTAGGGTATCTTTCCCTCCCACTCCCAGGTCCTGCTTTTTCGCTTTCCAGAGAGAGACCAAGCCTCTAGTCCTCATGGGGGCATATGGGCAATGCCTGGGGAAGTCTCTCTTGGGTAGGCTCTAGAATGCAAATTTGTGGTGGTGGGTTTTTAATATCTCAGGATCTGTTCATGCCCTGTGGTGGGGGTTCATTTACACAGGGCTTTTAAATTTGCTATAAGAGGGCCTTCTCAGTGGCTGCTTCCAAATTTTGGAGCTCCCTTCCTAGAGAGGCTGGACCAGCTTCCTCTTCGCTACGTGAAGATCGTTTTATTCCAAAAGGCATTTTGGGAACTGTTTTTAAGGAAAGAGCTTTTAATAGTGCTGTGCTGTTTTTACTATCTGAAATTTTAACGAACTTTTAAAATATTGTCTTGATTCTATTATTGTTTAATTACTTTTAAAATATTGCCATTGTTTCTAGCTTGTCATATTTTATCCTTGTGGCCTTAATTTTTGTAAGCTTCCTTGAGTCCAGGTCTGGGGGAGAAAGCTGGATGATTGCATTACCATTTCCTTCTTCACCCCTTACATCATTGACAGTCAAGTGCGTTCATATTTTCCCAATTACCTAGAATGGTAACTCAGCTGAGAAGTGATAGAGGAGGTGTTAGAATTTTCATGAAACAGGTGTCATGTTCACTCCTGTGAACAGCACACAATTTGCTTGTTTTATATGCCAACACCCTACAAAATACACACACAGCAATTTATGTAGAGCCTTAACCTGTTCGCTCACCCTCTCTATAGTGCTTGATGGAGATGGTTCTTTCGTGGATTAGTTGCCAACCAATAATATTTTATTATAAGTTCCTTTCACTATTCACAGTCAATAGGATTCGTTACAGAGTAGAAAAGAGGGCATCTTCTCCAAATCCAACCATCAGAGATTTACAAAACAGTTGAGAGGTTACTGATGAAAACCAAAAAAGGGTTCACTCTAGAACAGGAAAACTGCGTGAGCAGCCAGCAGGGCCCATGTTCAAGCCAACAAAGGCTACCCACATTCATAAGGACATAAGGAGAAAATGCTGGATCAGGCCAGTGGCCCACCTAGTCCAGCATCCTGTTCTCAACCAGGTGCCCCAGAAGGAAATCAGGAAGCAAGATTCAAGCACAAGAGCCACTCATAATAAATAGATATTATCCTTCCACCCCGACCCACCCTGTAGGTAACCAGTGGCCTCTCCCCCCACTTTACTTTTTGTTTGTTACAATTTTAACTCTGCCTTTCCTCCAAAGGGGGCACATATGCTGCTGCTCCTGCCTGACCCACTCTTCATTTAATCCCCACAAGAGCCTTGAGAGGTAAGGCGAGCCGAGAGGCAGCACCTGACCTGCAAGGTGGACCTTGAGCTGCATGGAGGAAAATGTGGCATAAAATTGCGATGAAAGACATACAGTGGTACCTCGGGTTAAGTACTTAATTCGTTCTGGAGATCTGTTCTTAACCTGAAACTGTTCTTAACCTGAAGCACCACTTTAGCTGATGGGGCCTCCCGCTGCCGCCGCACGATTTCTGTTCTCATCCTGAAGCAAAGTTCTTAACCTGAAGCACTATTTCTGGGTTAGCAGAGTCTGTAACCTGAAGCGTCTGTAACCTGAGGTATCATTGTACATAGATAAGGCCACTAGTGAGGGCCGCCCCCCCACAATAAAACCACTTAACCACCACACCATACTAGGCCCTTCCAGCCTAGATTTGTTTTTGGGGGTGTCTTCTTATGCCCCCACTCCCAATTACTTCCCATTTCCCATCCAATGTACTTACCCTCTCTATCCCCAGGGTACCTCCTTCTCCTCCCCTATTTGAGCACCTCACCCTATTATGTCCTCCCCCCTTTCTCACATCTGTAGGCCTCCCCCCTGGGCTCCTCACCCCAGGACTGGGACTGTTTCCGCAGCCATTCTCCTCTCCCCTCTGCTGCTGCAACGGCTCTGGAAGGGCAGTGGCCGCCATCTTGACCCTCCCGCCGACAGAGGGACTACAGCTCCCAGCAGGCCGCTCGGCTTCCCCGCCCCCTCGGCTCCCAGCAGGCTCTGCGCGCGTAGTCCATCCTCTCGGCCCAGACTACGTTTCCCGTCAGGCGCTGCGGCGGCTTCTCGTTGCCATGGCAGCGACGGACGCGGCCTACCGCTCTTCCTCTGGCTCCACCCGGCGATGGACGTTTACCGGCCGCGCTATTACACCCCGAAGGAGGTGGAGGTGCACAACCGGCCCTGGGACCTCTGGGTCTCCTACATGGGGCGGGTCTATGACCTCAGCCCCCTGGCCGAGGCCTACAAGGGTAACGCAGGCAGCCTCTCGCTCTTCCCTATGGCGGCCCCAGGGCAGCAGGCAGATTTCCCCACCCAAGAAAGTGGTGTGGGGGGATGAGTGTTCAGACCCCTGGGCCCTCACTTGTGGGGTGCCTCAGGGTTCAGTCCTCTCCCCCATGCCTTTTTAATATCTATATGAAGCTGCTGGGAGAGATCATCAGGGGGTTTGGGCTGGGTGTTCACCAGTATGCAGATGACAGCCAGCTCTAAGGTAAAGGGACCCCTGACCATTAGGTCCAGTCGTGACCGACTGTGGGGTTGCGGCGCTCATCTCGCTTTACTGGCTGAGGGAGCCGGCGTACAGCTTCCGGGTCATGTGGCCAGCAGGACTAAGCCGCTTCTGGCGAACCAGAGCAGAGCACGGAAGCGCCGTTTACCTTCCCGCTGGAGCGGTACCTATTTATCTACTTGCACTTTGACGTGCTTTCGAACTGTTAGGTTGGCAGGAGCAGGGACCAAGCAACAGGAGCTCACCCCATCATTGCGGGGATTCGAACTGCCAACCTTCTGATCGGCAAGCTCTGGGCTCAGTGGTTTAACCCACAGCGCCACCCACGTCCTGACACCCAGCTCTACCTCTCCTTTAAATCAGAACCAGTGAAGGCGGTGAAGTGCCTGGAGGCGGTTGGAGAAAGGATAGTGGCTAACAGATTGAGGTTGAATCCTGACAAGACAGAAGTACTGTTTTTGGGGGACAGGGGGCGGGCGGGGGTGGAGGACTACCTGGTCCTGAATGGGGCAACTGTGCCTCTGAAGGACCAGGTGCGCAGCCTGGGAGTCATTTTGGACTCACAGCTGTCTATGGAGGCGCAGGTTAATTCTGTGTCCAGGGCAGCTGTCTACCAGCTCCATCTGGTATGCAGGATGAGACCATACCTGCCTGCGGACTGTCTTGCCAGAGTGGTGCATGCTCTAGTTATCTCCTGCTTGGACTACTGCAATGCGCTCTACGTGGGGCTACCTTTGAAGGTGACCCGGAAACTGCAATTAATCCAGAATGCAGCAGCTAGACTGGTGACTGGGAGCAGCCGCCAAGACTACATAACACCGGTCCTGAGAGATCTGCATTGGCTCCCAGTATGTTTCTGAGCACAATTCAAAGTGTTGGTGCTGACCTTTAAAGCCTTAAACGGCCTCGGTCCTGTATACCTGAAGGAGCGTCTCCACCCCCATCGTTCAACCCGGACACTGAGATCCAGTGCCGAGGGCCTTCTGGCGGTTCCCTCATTGCGTCAAGTGAGGTTACAGGGAACCAGGCAGAGGGCCTTCTCGGTGGTGGCACCTGCCCTGTGGAACTTCAGATGTGAAGGAAATAAGCAGCTATCTTCTCTTTAAAAGACATCTGAAGGCAGCCCTGTTTAGGGAAGTTTTTTAATATTTAGTGCTGTATTGTTTTTAACACTTGATTGGAAGCCGCCCAGAGTGGCTGGGGAAACTCAGCCAGATGGGCAGGGTATAAATAATAAATTATTATTATTATTAGAGAGCCAGTGTGGTGTAGTGGTTAAAAGCGGTAGTCTCGTAATCTGGGGAACCGGGTTCGCGTCTCCGCTCCTCCACATGCAGCTGCTGGGTGACCTTGGGCCAGCCACACTTCTTTGAAGTCTCTCAGCCCCACTCACCTCACAGAGTGTTTGTTGTGGGGGAGGAAGGGAAAGGAGAATGTTAGCCGCTTTGAGACTCCTTAAAGGGAGTGAAAGGCGGGATATCAAATCCAAACTCCTGTTCTTCTATTATTATTATTATTATTATTATTATTATTATTATTATTGGGGGCGGGTGGGTCTGAGGGAATGCACAAGAGAAGGCGTCCCTCGGGGGTGGCAAATCCAGGGTCTGCCAGCCACCAGGGCTAAAGGGGAGCCTCCATGTTCAGTGGCAGTCTACCTTCTCCATGCAAACCTCACGAGGGAAGTGGGGCAACTGCCTTTTCCAGGAGGGCGCCTCGTTTGGGCCACTGCTGGGAAAGAGGGTGCTTGGCTAGGGGGCCTGATCCAGCACTGATCTCTCACGTTTATGGTGCGAGTTGTTTTTCCACTGCATCCCATTCGCAGGCCTTGTGTCCTGCTTTTCCTCCCTTCCTCCTGTGTCGAGATCCCCAATGTGGCCCGTTTTGTTTTCCCCTGATTTGGAAAATAGCACATTCTTTACAAGGTCCTCTCCAGCTTTTTTGTTTTTGTTTAAAGCACTGGTGGGCGACCTGAGGCCTTGGGAGGCAAATGTGGCCCTCAGGGCCTCTATATTTGGCCCTTGGAATTTTCCCCAGGCCACGCCCCTCACTGGCCTTGGTTCGCAACCTCCTGGAGCGCTTTTGCCTGGCTGGAACGTGTCCTTGAACTCCAACAAAGCCTCTTCCCAGGGGCAAAACTAGGCTTTATTTCACCCAGGTCAAAGACCCAGTTTGGCACCTCCCCCCAAATTTGTGTACACACACATACAGGCTGGGAGCCTCATTGGTGCCCCTCTGGAGGCTTCACCCAGGGCAAAATAACCGAGCTAGCGGGCCCCCCCCCATAGCTACGGCTCTGCCTCTTCCTTCCCTGGATAGATAGAGAGGGTGGTGTGTGGGGTGTGTGGTGTACACAGGCATTATGCCACTCACTTTTGCCTCTGGCCCCATTCATCACTGACCTATCACCCTCTTGTGGAAGCGTGCTCCTTTGGCTAAAAAAAAAAAGGGCTCCCTGCTCCTTATGGGAATAAGACTCCTCTCCATTGGAGACTGTGAAGAAAGACTACCAGTCAAATAAGATAATACGGGGCTAGCTAGAGCACTGGTGTGACTCGAGGATGGGCAAGCTTCACATGTACCTTATCCATATTCTCTGCCTGTTCAGGTGATCTCTTATTGAAGCCTATTCTAGAAGCAGCGGGGAAAGACATTAGCCACTGGTTCAACCCCAAAACCAAAGATGTGAGTACCTGCAGGTCTTGGCGCTCAGGGCAACTTAGGGCAGAGATCTTGGCTGAGTGGGAAACTCTTGGAAAATCAGAGTTTTGTTTTACTCTTACAGAATGTTGAAGTTTTTCTCCATAGGAGTGTTGCTGGTCATTTATTGTTGTTGTTGTTGTTGTTGTTAAAAATTGGTATACTGCCCTTCATCCACAGAACTCAGGGCAGTTCACAACATAAAAATGTAATATAGCTACAGTGGTACCTCGCAAAACGAATGCCTCGCAAGACGGAAAACTCGCAAGACGAAAGGGTTTTTTGTTTTTTGAGCTGCTTCGCAAGACAATTTTCCCTATGGGCTTGCTTCGCAAGACGGAAACGTCTTGCAAGTTTGTTTCCTTTTTCTTAAAACCGTTAATACAGTTGCGACTTGACTTTGAGGAGCAACTCATAGCACGCGGTGTGGTAGCCTTTTTTGAGGTTTTTGAAGACTTTGGTGATTTTTGAAGCTTTTCCAAAACTTTTCCAAAACCGTGCTTCGCAAGACGAAAAAAATCACAAGACGAAAAAACTCGCGGAACGAATTAATTTCGTCTTGCGAGGCACCACTGTACCAGACTTTTAATAAAAAATGTAATATAAAATGTAATGTAACTACCAGACTTTTAGAAGACATCTGAAGGCATCCCTGTTTAGGGAGGCTTTTATAATGTTTGATCCATTACTGCAATACAATATAATTATAGAATACAATACATGATAAAATACATGATAAAAGCAAGAACAACAAACCAATACCCTCTTCCCTTCCCACAAACACATTAAAAGGGGCATAGGATTTTAATTCTCATCCCAGGCTTCCTTTGCCTCTGCCTACCCCATTCTCTGGACTGCTATTGGTCCTGCAGATTTTTGTTCTGTTTGCAAAGCTTGTGCAATGTCCTACTTCTGGTGGCCTATGTGTACACTGCTGCACTATGACAGTCTTCGCTAACCTGGTGCCTTACATATGCTTTGATGGGAAGTTGTTGGCCAAGACCTATCATGGGCACCAGGTTGGCGAAGGCTGCAGCATTAGAAGGAAATGTTGCCAGGGGCAGGATGCTAAAACCACAGTGAGGGAGAAACATGTGCCCACTCCACAATTTAACCAGTGTCCCACATACATCTTTCTCAGTTCTTTGTAAGTTTATTCCCATCTTCACAGTCACAGATGTGATTTGTTACATCTTTTATGATTTCCCCTGCATAATTTTCCACCATCCTTGCTCAGAAAATTGATTTCGCCGCTTTCAGACTTAAGGACTCATTTGTATCGTTACTAGTTTGTTAACAATTTCCTTGACTTGCTGTCCCAAACAGAATACATTTGAAAGACTCTGTGTTAGGTCCTGAAGGGCAGAGTAAAAAGGAGCAAACGTTTCCATCACTGCAAATGCCAAAATAATTGTTTCTGGAATCCCATTTTGGGGCATATTCTGTTTGTCGTGCATGTTGAATCCTCTTATCTCCATGTATCAACCTGTCCCATTTATAATGATCCTTAGGAGAGGTGCTTCTTAAGGGTCCCCAGCCAGGAATGGCACATTATGTAGTAACATATTGTACTTTCCTTTTGGTGCAAACTTAAAATGTATCTGTTTTCCCTGGCGTTTACATGATGTCAATTCTGGAACTGCCCACATTTTAAAAAGGTTTTTCAGTATGAAATTTATATTGGTTGTTTTAAGTGATCTTTTTGCCTGCCCCTGAGTTTATGGTGTATATGGGATGGCTGCAACTTGCTGTCCCAGGGTTTGGCAACAATGGTGGGATAGAAATTTACCAAAAGAAATAAAGAAAGAAAAGACTTATTTGAAAGACTCCCCTCTTAACTGAGAAAGGCCCTGATTTCCCTCCTTCCAGATACAGACACACATTAACCCTCTAACAGGATGCCTTAAGTACTACACCCCACAAGGTCGCTTTGTGCACATCCCACCTCCTCTGCCTCGTACAGACTGGGCCAATGACTTTGGCTTGCCCTGGTGGAGAGATGGCAACTACGAGGTGGGCATCCTGTCTGCCAAAACCAGACGCATACGGATCATCAACACTCTGACCTCTCAGGAACATACCCTTGAGGTGAGTCCTGTCCCACCTTTGCAAAGGTAGGATTTAAGAAAGAAAAAACACCCAAGATATTATTGGCAATTGTCCTTCTTCCTTTGCTAATGTTCCTCTGATGGGACGGTGTTGTGGACCTCCATTCTGCCCGGCTTGTCTGTGCCTCCCCAGGATGTGGAGGCTGAAGGAACCACTTGGTTTTCAGGTGCACTTGGACCTCCTGTGATTCCACCCATGGATGTAACATGGTGCTCTCCGCAGGTCTGTGCAGAGGAATCCATGTGGGAGATCCTTCGGCGGTACTTGCCCTACAACGCCCATGCAGCCAGCTATACATGGAAATACGAACGCGTCAACCTAGACATGGATAAGAACCTGCAGCAGAACAACATTCCGGATGAGGATGAGGAATTCTACAATCTCTACATGGACGCTGATGCCTTCACCCCAGCCATCCTGCTCTACTTCAACGATGACCTCACTGAGCTCTAGGTAACCCCCAAATGGAGAAGGAACTGGCCCCATCTCCAGCCATGCTGCCCCCCACCCCAGCAGCCCCTCATCTAGCGTGCTTATTTATAAGAATATTTATAAACCACCAACTCGTTTAAAAAATGCATCATGTGCAATAAAACCTTTCAAAGGCTGTAAAATTCCAAAATCATAAGATGCAGAACAAATGACCAACACTGAGTCGAATTAGTTCTCTAAGAAGGCTTGGTTAAACCAGAACAGCAGGGAAAACAAGCTTCCTCCATCTTCTCAAGGGGCTGTCACATGGAAGATGAAGTAAGCTTGTTTTCTCCTGCTCCAGTGGGTAGGACTTGAACCAATTGATTCAAGTTGCAAAAAACAAAATTCCAACTCAACGCCAGGAAGAACTTTCTGACAGTAAGAGCCGTTCGACAGTGGAACGGTCTCCCTCGGAAGGTGGTGGACTCTTCTTCCTTAGAGGTTTTTAAAGCAGAAGTTGGATGGCCATCTGTCATGGATGCTTTAATTGAGAGTCCTGGGTGGCAGGGGTTGGACTAGATGACCCTTGGGGTCCCTTCCAACTCTACAGTTCTATTTTAGGTGCTTGCCTGATTTCAATAGTTCCAAAATACAGGTGAAACTCGAAAAATTAGAATATCGTGGGAAAAGTTCCTTTATTTCAAGAATTCAACTTCAAAGGTGAAACTAATACAGTGGTGCCTCACAAGACGAAATTAATCTGTTCCGCGAGTCTCTTCGTCTTGCGGTTTTTTCGTCTTGCGAAGCACGGCTATTAGCGGCTTAGCGGCTATTAGTGGCTTAGCAGCTTAGCGGCTTTAAGAAAAAGGAAACAAACTCGCAAGAACTCACAAGACGTTTCGTCTTGCGAAGCAAGCCCATAGGGAAATTCATCTTGCGGAATGACTCAAAAAACGGAAAACCCTTTCGTCTAGCGAGTTTTTCATCTTGCGAGGCATTCGTCTTGCGGGGCACCACTGTATATGAGATCGACTCATGACATACAAAGCGAGATATGCTTCTACTTCTCGGAGGTCCAATCTTGCTCGATTTGCAATCCTTGTTTTGCTGATTTCCTTGAATATTCTAATTTTCTGAGATGGTTACATTTGGGGTTTTCATAAGCTGTAATGCCATGATCATCGCAATGATAACAAATCAAGGCTTGACATATCTTGCTTCGCATGTCACGAGTCTATCTCATATATTAGTTTCACCTTTCAAGTTGAATTATGGAAATAAAGGAACATTTCCACGATATTCTAATTTTTCGAGTTTCACCTGTGTATTCATTTATCTGATTTATGCTTCACCTTTCCTCCAGAGAGCTCAAGGTAGCACGCATGGCTTTCCCCTCCCCATTTTATCCTCACAATAACCCTTGTGAGGTAGGTTAGACTAAACGGCAGGAAAGAACCAAGGTCACTCTATGAACTTCCTCATTGAGTTGGGATTTGAACCCTGGGCTCCCAGGTCCCAGCTAGGGTTGAGCAATATCTGATTTTCAGCATCTTAATATATCACCAACTAAACATCTCGATATAGCGATATATCACAATGTCCAAAATAAAGATTTGGCTACGTAGAGGCGTTGGCTGGCTTCACGTTTTTCCTGCATTGTGATTTTTGCCAGGGCCTGCTCTTGTGATTCGCTGTCCCCGGCATGCGGCAGAAGTTGCAGGAATCGAGAGAAGCATTGTCTGGCTTCACAGACTTTCCCATATTGTGATTTTTGCATAGCACACACATTCCCTTACAACTCATTAAGGCTGCTTAGTTTCTCAGATGGGAGACTTACTGGGATACTGAGGAAAGAACCCTGGGAGGAGGCTGAATAGTGGAAGGAGTCTACATTTGGGGACAGCAGGGCTGTCGCCCTTCCTCTGCTAAAAAGCCTTTTGAACGACTCTGCGAGAGCTTCAGTAAGAACACCCCCAGATTCTGTGTTTGCAAAGAGGGCACACCCTGCTTTTCCTCCATAGATCAGGAAGGTGTTTCCTCTCGGCCCACCTTGGGACTGGTTACCCAGAAGTCAGCAACAGAGATGGAAAATGGCGTTTGTGAAAATTCACTCTAGACTTGAGATGACAAAGCTCCTGTATTTCAGGGAAACATTCTGGACAGGAGGTGCCACAGAAAAATTAAAGCCTTTTATACAAAGGAGACACATTGCTAATATTGAGGGAGAAACGAGAACATGAGAGTCAACATGGGCTTGATCCAGTATGAGGCCTGTACAAGGGCACTCTTGGGCCAGTTGTCCCACATGCCTTGAGTTTGGTATTTGCTGGAAATGAAGGTGTACCAAAAAACGATAATTTCACATGAATGGACTGCTGGAAAAGGATTTCACCAACCTTTGGTTGCATCCACCCTAGACTTAGGAGCAGTTTAGGAAGTAGCCACTAGATGTCAGCAGTGGCTCACCAAGCAGCCATTTTGAGGTCTGTACCACAACCCTTGAAATGGTTTTAAATATAGAATAATGACTCTCACATTCAGTGGTTGATTATTCTGCAGGGTCATAGCCAATGGGAGAAGCACTGCTGCTGCTTTTCCCTTTTCATCTGGAGCAGAACACACGCACCTCCACTCGCTTTTCCCCACAGCCTTTTGAAATTCAAACTTTGTTATTAAGCTTACTAACATCCTCTGGCTGGTGTTTTTTTTTAATTTGTTTTTGTTAAAGATTTTCTTGGTTTACAAAAATACATGCCTTGTCTCTTTTATTCCAGGTTGTGCAGTCTTCCTTACAAATCAGTTACATTTGTTGGGAGACATTAGTGATGGGGAAGAAGAGGGGGAAGAGGAGGGGTGGGGTGGTGAGGCTTATATTCTTTTGTATAGTGTATGTGTGGCATTTTGGGCCAGCGTCCACTGGGTAGGTTCTCTTTCTATTTTTCTATTGCATTTCCTTGGTAGTGAGAGGTATTGGGGGGCAGGGTGTGGTTGGTTGTCTGTGGTTGTCTGCAGCGGGGTCTGTTTGCATTTGTGAGATGGGGAGGGCTTGTTGGGTCATGTAAGCATCCTCTGGCTGTTGAGACTCTGGGGAGTCCTGGGCTCAAATCCCCACTCAGCCATGAAGCTCAGGGTGACCTTAGGTCAATTGTTTTATCTCAGCCTAACCTACACCACAGGGTTGTTGTGAAGGTTATAGGAGTAAGGTAAAGGTAAAGGTACCCCTGCCCGTACGGGCCAGTCTTGACAGACTCTGGGGTTGTGCGCCCATCTCACTCAAGAGGCCGAGGGCCAGCGCTGTCCGGAGACACTTCCGGGTCACGTGGCCAGCGTGACAAAGCTGCATCTGGCGAGCCAGCGCAGCACACGGAAACGCCGTTTACCTTCCCACCAGAGCGGTCCCTATTTATCTACTTGCACCCGGGGGTGCTTTCGAACTGCTAGGTTGGCAGGCGCTGGGACCGAGCAACAGGAGTGCACCCCGCCGCGGGGATTCGAACCGCCAACCTTTCGATCGGCAAGTCCTAGGCGCTGAGGCTTTTACCCTCCATTGTTATAGGAGTAGAACCATGTAAAGTCACATTGAGCTCCCTGGAGTACAGGCATGATAACAATGCAATAAATAAAACACAGACTCTGCAGTAGTCTTTGCCAACCCGGTGCCCTCCAGATGTTTTGGGCTGCAGCTTCCATCGGCCCCAGCCAGAATGTGCTGATGGGAATTGTAGTCCAAAACATCTGGAGGGTACTAGGTTGGCAATGCTAATGTAGAGTCGATACCTTTATTATGGCACTAATTACAATTCCAGCATCTTCTATAATACTGCTGCATTAGTTGGGGTAAATGGCAAAAATTCGCCTCTCCCACAAATCTGGAAACACTGTGGTTTGGGGTCAAGTGATTTAATATGTTGAGGGAGCCAATACCTAATATCAGTACCCTGGTTATCAGAGCCAAACATGGTTACAAACTTTCGAGCTCAGAATTCATACACAGACAGCACAATCCCGTATGTGTTTACACAGAAGAAAGTCTCTTTAGGATTGCAGGAGAAATCTGCTTTGTCATCCTGCAGATACAAAAGAAACCTGTATTTGTAGAGAAGCTAAATCCGTATTCACATGTGCTAATGGAAAAATGATTTCTGTTCCCAGAATGTCCACTTTTTTCATATATAGAAGTTGGGAAGATAGTGACCCTTCTCTCAGCTGGGAGTATGATTTTTCTCCCTTTCTGACGCCTCCATAATTGCCACCAAGCAACACAATTTGTGTTTCTTTTCTCTCATATGGAAAAGAAGTCTCAAGTTATTTAACTGTTTTTTAAAAAGACAGTTCTTCAGCTTTGAAAAGACAGAATTTAAAATGCACGTAATTGCTGAAAGAATTCCCAGCTCATCCAGATCCCCTAAGTGCTTCTTCTAGTCAAGATGGTGTTATGTTGCTTCTGAAGTACTCTTTGTCAGACCTCTGAAGGAGATGGCTTTTTTGGGGGGAAGCAGCCACTCTGGACACCTCTATCCCTTTATGTGCCTTTGCTGTTCAAGCATGCTGCGTCAAGGTTGCTAATCAAAAAATAGTTCTTAGCTAATTGTTGAGAACTGGATGGAACACACACAGAGAGAAAAGGAAATATCAAACAGCAGTCCTGGAATATGGGGGTAGGAACATCTGTGGATCATGCGGGGACATCCAGTGCGGCAGAAAAGGAAGCGCTTAGAGCTGAGTCAAGCTAGACTCGGGGGATCAGGGAGGCCTGTGGTGAGCCATAACCCCTCCAGTGAGTGCACTTGTGTGATAATTGCTTTGGTGGGAGAGACAGTAACAGCTGGGCTCCCTGCTTGCTAACCTGTGTCTGTAGGCAAAGTGATGGTGGTGCTGTGTGTGTGTGTGTTGCTGGGAGATCTTGCTTTAGAAGAAGAGCATGACAGAACTCAGGGGAAGCTATTGAAAAAGCAAACCCAGCCTCTCAGCTTCTAAAGGGCACAGCCTACCCACTCTCAGATACTTGGGAATGCTTGCTTGGTGCTGGAGGCCTATCAGAAATGGAAGAACCATAGATGATTCCTATGTTTAGCAGAAAAGAAATGTAAGGAATTCACCAGCTGCCAATTTGCTACGTGGCCTAGTTCAAGGTGTTACTAATAGTATATAAAGCCCCAAACAGTTTACCTGTGAGATCACCTTCTATGTCCACACGACTGCTTGGATCAGCAGAACCGGCACTCTTACAGGTGCCACACAATATTTGTTCCACATCTGTAAGAAATGGATCTTTTAGTTGGCAGCACCCGCAATTTGGAACTTCCTGCCGATTTATTGTACTCTTTTTTTCTCCTGCTAAAAACATTTTTTGTTAGAAAGGCCTAACCAGATACATTGAATTTTGATATGTTTTCAGTTTAGCACTGATTTAAATGTTTTAAATAGTTGTTTTTAATGGTTTTAACCAATAATTTTACTGTTTTATTCTTTTTGTAAACTGCTTTGAGGTTTTTTTACAATCAAGTGGTGTGTGGTTTTTTTGAAATAACGAAAAGACTGTTTCCTTAGAAATTTGCATACTGAGCCAGAATAATTTAAAGTGTACTTTCAGGCAAATAAGCATTAAACACACCAACCCCAAATACATTATGCAGAAGCAGGTTCTGCTGCTATCAGTGCAGCTTCCTTTCATATGATGTATTTATGATTGGGATCTCCATCCCTCTGAAGACTGATTAATTTCTTGTAGTGTGTTTTCAAAAGCCTTTCTCCCGTTGCTATCCTAAGATGTTCACAACAATAAATTTCACTTAGAAACCAGGAAACAGGAACTTGCAAATCCATACAGATATTTTAGATATATACATACAATGACATACAACCCCAGAGGGGGCATTAAAACAGAGCAACCGCCCCCACCCCACCCTTACTGTAAGAAGATAGCATTGGACGCAAATACGGCACAGAATACAGAGGGGAGTTTCACATTTTGGAGTTTCCTTTGGGAAGTTAATTTTATCATTTAGAATATGTTGGGGGTATTAAAAGGAAAACCACAGTTTGCAAGGGAGGATGAACCAAAGACTGACAGGTGTCAGAAAGGAGAGGTTAGAGGAAGGATAACAGGAAGGAAACTAACCTTGGATTTTGCACAGTGCTACACCAGCTGGCCTCAGGACTCCAGCTGTCTCTCCCAATAGGCACCCTGCGTGCTCCTCACATTAAGCTGCCTGAGCATCTTCCTGCACCACTTCCCCACTGCTCCTTATGGTTACTGGTGATCCAGTCTCGCTCCTCACAGTCTTCAAAAACTGCACCTGCATGTGGTGCCTGTGCCAAAATGAAAACAAACAAAAAGCATTATATGTACACAAACAAGCTGGCACGCTTGGAGCAGCAACACTGTTGAGTGAAGTGATGGTTCTGGAAGGGTGCATCCCAGGCCAGGAACTAATAATAATAATAATAATAATAATAATAATAATAATAATTTATTTCTACCCTGCCCATCTGGCTGGGTTTCCCCAGCCACTCTGGGCTGCTTCAAAAATATATATATTAAAAAATACATTAAAATAACAGTCAGTAAAAACTTCCCTAAACAGGGCTGCCTTCAGATGTCTTCTCAATGTTATATACCGTAGTTGTTTATTTCTTTGACATCTGATGGGAGGGCGTTCCACAGGGCAGGCGCCACCACCGAGAAGGCCCTCTGCCTGGTTCCCTGTAACTTCGCTTCTCACAGAGAGGGACCTGCCAGAAGGCCATTGGAGCTGGACCTCAGTGTCTGGGTTGAACAATGGGGATGGAGACGCTCCTTCAGCTATACGGCCCCCCAAGGCACACCTGGCCTGCTGGTAATAAGCCTGAAAGTATTTGCTGCCGTTGCTCTTACACCTAACTTCCTGGAGTTGTAACAGCAAATGTATGAGCTGAGAGAGGCAACTCTGATCCAGGAGTCCTCTCGGGGTACCAAGTCAGGGTGGGTGGGAGACATAGGAGCTAACTCCTAGGGGCAAAGGTCCCTTCAGCCCCAATAAAATATATGAGGAGGCCACCCTCCCTCCAAGTTGATGGACATTGCCATTCAAACTGTGTGTCTTGTGATCAGTTTTGCACGTTGGGACTTACCTGCCCCCCCTCCAATATTTTATTCAAGTTTGCACCCTTGGTGGGAGGGATGGTTTGCACTGTCTCTTGGTCACTTTGTCTCCACCTACAGTTCTCCTGATGCTTCTTTCCTGCATCCATCTTGCTTCCTGATTATCACACTTTATATGAGAGGAAGTGAAGCAGGTTTTGCAAGCTGTGTGTGTGTATAGGTCACCTGGTCAGAAGCATCCCAGGCCCTGAGATTACTGGGTCCAAACCTGAAACCTAGGGGTGGCCCCCAGTGATGTCAGGGAGAGACACCCCTAGTTATATCACAGGGCAGCCCCCAGAGATATCACAAGGGTGGGCCCTGGAGATGGAAGTAAATTGGAAGAGGGGGAACAGAGGGCAGACACCTCCAGAGTGCCTATATGCTATAATTTGAAGCCGGACTGAAGTTTGCAAGCTGCATGCACAGTCTTCTTAATATACATTTATTTCATTAAAGGAGCTCTCGCCCATCTGGAGTGGCCCAGGCAAACCTGGAAACATCATGTCAGAGCTGGAGACCTGGCAACCCAAGGGTACGCTACTATGCCAAAGAGCAGAACGATCCAGAATTCTGTGGCCAAGCACCGTAATGTGGCTGTGGTCGTGTTCCTGTTGGGCCTTGCAGTCTGTAATATTTCTCGGTCCAGCAACAGACACCGAGAATGAGAATGAGGAGTAACTTTATTAAAAAGCTTTATTCAGAGGTGCCGCTAAGACCCTCTTTTAGAACTGGTACTCAAGGCCTAAGGAACAGGCTAGTTCATGTGACTCCAGGGCAAGTCGCCAAATTGACAATGGGCAATTAACATGAAGGAAGAGCCAGCAAATTACAAGCTCTGTCATTGCGCAATTCACAGGGCCATATGCCAAAACTCTTCAGGCAACATCTGGAGAGCCAGAGGTTAGCTGCCCCTGGTGCAAATGATACTAATCTAGGTGGGCCAATGGCTTGCCTCTGTATAAAACAGTTTCCTCCATTCCTAACTGCTCTCTGTCCACATTTGCAGCCGCCGCATTGGGAACATGCCTCGCATTCCTCCCTCTGTCCCTTCTAGGGGGGTGGCATTAAGCTCTCCCCCCCCAGCTGTGGCAGAGATAATGGGCATCTGTCTACTCCCATGCCATGCCAACAAGGCCACAGGCTGTCACATCAGGCCAGCTGTCCTTTCTCCCTGCCCCCTTGGATGGGTGCTGTCCTTGGTAGCTGCAGCAGAAGGGAAAAAGTACAACCCCTCTCTGCAAGCTCTGTAATTTGAAGGTTGACCATCCTCTTGTGGTGTGGTGCTGGCAGGTGCCATAACCTCAGGGAGGCTCGGACTTGTATAGAGAACAGATGGACTTGCGACCGCTGTCCTCTGTCTGTGAAAAGGGAACCCTGCCCACTCTGCCTCGAAAGAACAGCTGCTCTTGGCCAATGATGCCTGGTTTTTCCTTTTTTCTTCTGCACTTGCAGTGCTTTTGTCTCTCCCTACACTGCCACCTGGTTGTGGCCCCACAGTTGTGGAATCCTGGCCGAAAGAGGCCTGTTTGGCTATGTCACTGCTGAACTTCTGCTGCACTGCAAAGGCATGGCCTTTCTCATAGTTTGGTGGAGGAGTAATTTCCTGGTAGATTTTATCTGCTGTCTGGCAACCCTTATGCTGCAATCCTATACTGCGGCCTTGGTCAACCTGGTGCCCTCCAGATGTTTTGTACTACAGCTCCCATCAGCCTTAGCCAGCATGGAACTGATGCAGGGTCATTCGTTTCCCCCTTCCCCCCCCTTTCATTTTTAAGTTTATTTTTTCATTTAATTTTTAATTCTGTTGGCACAGCTGTAATACCAACACATTTTGGCCCCTGCTCTATTACAACTTTTGCATCCCATATGGTCATTAAAAAAACTTGTAATTACGAGCGTGTACCTCATTAGGCTTATTTCCTCCTCCCTCCCAATCCATTTCCCTTTTGTGTTGTGTCCTTTTAGATTGCAAGCCTGGTGGCAGGGACAGTTTGGTTTTCTTTTCTTTTTAGTGATCCATAAGACACACTGAGAGACCCTTTTTTTTTGCCCGAAGAGCTGGATAAAAATTCTGCAAGCAAAAAACTGGGCAGTGAGTCAAGGTCTTATTTCTGAGTAAACATGCAAGGGATTGCACTTTAAAAAAAATATTTGTAATGTTTTTACTGAGATTTATTACACTGTTGCATTTTTGTAAGACAAAGGCAGGATATGCTTATTTTTTAAAATGAGAGAATTGTTTGTGACCACATGCTGTCTCCTTCCACATGTTCATTCCCAAAAAACCAAACTTGTCCCTATGACTTTCTCCTCCCTTGTCTCTCATAAACCATTGCATGATTAGACACTGGTGTTGAATTCTCTGCTTTGTCTTTGACATATTTTCCTTCTTATAGTGTTGCCTGAAACGAGCCATCAAATGGTTAATGCTTAGTGACAGCCACTGTTTAAGCTTCTGTGGTATGAGGTGGAGAATGAGGCTATGTGATACACTGGTTAGAGACCAGGTTCAAATCTCTGTTCAGCCATGAAGCTTGCTTGATGTCCTTTAGCCTTTCACCACCACCCTCTCAATCTAGCCTACCACACATGGTTGTTGTGAGTCTTGGGAAACTTACACTTGCCAGGAGCGACGTCTCAATGCTTTCCACATGTGCTGCATCAGGAAGAATTTTGGGTGTCCCATGGCAGGACACAGTCTCAAACAAGGATGTGCTCTCCCAAGTCCACATTCCCAGCATGTTCATGCTCCTGTCTCAGCACCTTCTATGCTGGCTTGGTGGTGGAAAATGGTAGGATCCCAAAGGATGTGCTCTATAGGGAGCTGCCTTCAGACACCAGGCCTGTCGGCAGACCATATGAAGGCTGGCAAGATCACCCCCACAATGTGGGAATCCCTTGCAGATGACCACAGCACCTGGAGACAGTCAGGTCACTGCTGTGGAAACACAACCTCAAGAGAAATTAACACTGGGAGGAGTGCAGAGAGGAGAAATGCCATGGTGTATCTGTAACAGTGAAACTGGACATCTTCATCTGCCGCAGCTGCAACAAAACATGTCTCTCCCACAGCAGTTGCCACAGCCACAGCAGGTGCTGTAACTAACGGCTTGACTTCACTCTCAAAGGCGCACTGTTCCATCGTCTCCTAAGACGGAGCGGGTGCCGGCAGGTTGTTGTGAGGATAACCATTCTAGGCCAACCTTTAGCTCCTTGGAGGAAAGACAGGGTGTAGATTTAGTAAAATAAATAAAATGACTGGCTCCATGAGGTCTAAAGCAGTCACCAATAGCAGGCTGGCCTGCTGTACAATGCCTGGCTCCCTCCCTGCTCTGTAGCGCCTACTCTAAACCCTTGACTATAAATGAACAGGATGGCTAATCCTTACATCCAATCAGTTGTGGGTTCTTATGAACTTTTAACATATTTCAAACTGGCTATCCTTTCATCTGGTTATTTTTTGGGGGGTGGGGTGGGGGAATGGCTCAAGCTGTCCACAATCCAGTGCCTTGTGATGGAAGAGAAGACACACCAATACAGCTGTGGTTGAAGGAAACACTAGAGAATGTGACCTCTGACCTGGAAATCCCAGTGATTCTCATTCCTAGTGAGCCAAAATTCCTAGGACCAGTTGCAGAGACATGCGGGTTATGGAAAAACAAATCTCCCCCAAAATCAGTTATAATTTTGCCAGAAGTCTTAAGACATTTGAGGATTTTGCCAAGAGGTGGGAGCGCTTGCTCTTGGTTTCTGAATGCTGGAAGGTGTCAATGAACCGCCTGAGGTCAGGGGGGATGGATTTGCAACAGATGCCACCTGCACTCTGATTTTCTGAATCAAAGTGTGTAATTCCCGTGTTTCCACAGGCTTTCACAGAAGTGTGTGTGTGTGTGTGTGTGTGTGTCTACGTCAGTCACATTGTAATCAGCAGGGGAAAGGCCTTGAAATATTTCTTCCCACCCCCGAGCCAAACAGCAGCAGTTCCCTTGAGGGAAGAGCAGGCTTGTGGGGTAATGAGCAACACATCTTTGACCCTCTTGAAAGACAAGATGCAGTTGTGTGTGTGAGCTGTTGAAATAAATTCTACATTTCCCCTATTAGTATCATGCTGCAGGTTCCTTGATAGGATTCCTGACACTTAACTGCATTGTGAAAAAACATCAAAGGCAGAGAAGAGACAGAAGGAAAAGGATGTTTTCCTTTTTTCATGCTGTTCCCTTGAGCAAGGAGGACCAAGCCACAAACAACTCAGGTCAAGATTCAAAAGGGATTTCCCCCTCCTTCTTTGGAAATTTGTACTTTGTTCTCGTTGCTTCATTTTTAACCGGCAGGCAATATAATGCACCGATGTAGTGAAATTCCAAGTTTAAAATTCGGATGATGCTGGACCGCTTGATCCGTTCTCGTCCCCACCAGGAAGAGACATGCTCTGTATATGAATAAAAAAAAGGCCACTTTAATGTAAAATGGTTTTGATAGCATGAAACCTCCAAAGCTCTTCCTGGAGCATTGGCTTCCAGCATTGCCAGGCGAATGTTTCAACATGAGGGAATGGGATTGGCGCCCAAGCTCCTGGAGGGCTTCAGAGGGTGTTGCGTCAAATATAAAAGCCACATGGGGGATAACATTCACTTGGCAAACGGTGTCTCCTGCAGGCACAGTTAGTCCTCTGTGGACGCTTGTAACTAGTCTGCAGGGGAATAAGCTTAGGCTTAGGTTGAACACTTTCACTGGAGAGCGGCCATGTTTTAATAGCTGGGATTGCCCTCCAATTCTTCCCCCCAAAATGAAGTTTAGCCCTGCAAATAATTTAAAATAAGGGTACGACTGACCGCAATACTACTACCTTCACTGAGAGTGATTCAGATGTGATACTGCATGATTTCAAACACACTTGCATGAAAAGAAGCCCCAGTCAGTGTAACTTTCTGTCAGGTGCCATTTCATGCGGGGTTTTTTTTTACTTCCACCAAAATACAGAGAGAAGAAAATTGACAAACTTGTTCTCTTCAAAATTGATTAGAAGGCTGATCAACTTTGCTACCAGGTTTAGTTCAGAATTACTGGGAATTCACCTGCAATTCAATTTCAATGTCAATAAAGTTGAAGTATTTTGGAAACAAGCATCATAGAAGCATCCACTAAAGTATTTTGGGGTATTTGGATACTGCAAGAATAAGAGAATTGCCTCTGGAATAGTTTGTAAGCATTGTGTTTGTACACAATCCTTTGGCAAGGCCCTCATTCAGCAACAGGATCTTAACCTCAAAATTTATCTTAAATATCTGGAAGTGAGTGGGTCGGGTCCAAAATTTCCCATAATCATTTGTAAAAATGAAAATCTAATGAAGACAGTTAAATAATATTTTTTTAAAAAAAATCAGCACAGATTTGTGTCTCATAAAAATGTGGGATGTGTGAAACCAACAGTGGTTTATTTTAGAAATGGATTTTTAAAGTGATACGAGCATTATACTTGTATATTGCTAGTGTAGCATAAGACTGAAGTTGGGGAAAATATGTTTTAAGTTTTTTTTTAATTCCCATGTCAGATGCAATGGGCAGAAGCAGTTATCCAGTAGTCCCCAACAACAGAGTTTATTTTTATTTGTAGTTTCCTTATGCAGGTAGGACACACACTTGGATTCAGTTTAGTTGGGTTCAAGGATATTGTAGGCTGAAGATACCTCAATAGCTGTAACTTCCTATCATGGGTATTAGCTTGGTAGTGAATGACCTGCAATCTGAACTAGAATCTATGTAATGTGCAAACTTGCACTTCACTTGGGACTTACTTGTGATTGCAGCTTCACTTCTCCACTTCTATCATGTCCCTTCCAAACTCCATCTTTTTTGTGGGGTATTTTGCTATATGGAATGGCTCATGGACAGCTAGGTTTTGCAGGCCTTATTTGTGCAGGCAGGACAGTCTCACTTGCTCCAACATAACAGACACTAAAATGAGAGATTATCAGAGCCACCTGGTTTGGAAAAAAATAAAGAACTGAGTCCTTTAAAACTTCCTATTGGTTCCTCCATTATTATTAGAGGGTTTGAGATCAAAGGCCACAAATAAAAGGAAAGCTAACTTTTTCAAAACTGTATTTTAAGTCTTAAACTCAAATTATATAGATGCATGAGGCTTGTCAAAAAATAAAATGTGATAACCATTCTTAATTATTATAATGCTTCCCCATTTTACTTACTAATTTCCCTTTAGTGGTGCATTTGTTTCCCATTTATAAAACAGGGAGAGCAAGTAAGGGCCACAATCCATAAGAGAGGTATACATCCTTACGCCCAGCGACTTTCTTGGGACTTCAGTGTACCACACTCAGTGTTGGATTGTGGCCATAATTATTTTAAAAATCAGCTCAAAAAAAAAAATCCCCAACGTTTTGGTGAGAGAAGGGGGGGAACCTTTGTAATCAAGGTATTTGCTAAAACTGCACATATTAAATTGATTTACCCCTGTGGGGCAAACACGATAGGGTAAATTCGGGGGGGGGACGTTTAAGGGAGCAAAATATATTTATTAGGATAGACTTTCCACCCAGAAGTTAGGAAGGGGGGGGGGAAAACCTTTTAAAAAACAAAACAGCACTCATCTAGAAAAACAGTGAAATCCACTAATGTGAGCATGGATAAATTATTTTAATGAATTGCAGTAATCAGTAGGGTTTTTCTTCTTCTCTTCTTCCTTTCTTGCCCTAGAGGAAAAGGAGAGAAATAAACCACTCCCTTCTGAAGTATTTAAAGTTAGAAGAAGAAGAAGAAGAAAAAAGGGGGGAGGAAAAAACCACCCCTATTCTTTTTTCTTCTTCTCTTGTGCTAGTAAAACAGACACAGACACACACAAAAGTCATGGTCTTACTAGTATGGAACTAGTTAACCTTTAACAATTTTATGCTGATGTCATAACTGAGCATGAGTACTGATTAATCCAACCTTTTCTCTCTCTCTCTTCCCCCCTCCCTGTAAAAAATATTTTTATTGAGGGAGGTGGGGGGAGAGCATAAGAAAAAAAAGAAATAATTTAGAGCAGCCATCTTTGTTTTATGCAGAAATCTTGTCAGTTTCCCCCCAGTGCCAGGAATGTCTAAATATTGTTCATGATCACAGATCTTGGAGATTGAAAAGAAAATATAACAGCAAGAAGAAAAAGCCTTTATCTTTATTATCATTTTCGTTTTCTTGCATGTTTTTTCCCCCCTCTTAAATTTGGAGCTGATTTTTTTTTTTGAAAGGGGGGAGATCTTTTTAACCCTATGGAAGAGGGGGTTAAAATTAAGCCAGCCATTTTGTTTTTTGTTTTTTATATAGGGGGGGCCCTATATATTTTTTACCTCCTGGGGGGTCTGTTTTAAAAATAATTTAAGGGCGGCCATTTTTGTTTCTTGGTCTTGTGGAAAATATTATCCTGAACTCCCCCCTCAGAATTTAAATATATCTTTACTCCCCCCTTCGTTTTTTTAAATTTTTTTTTTTAAAGAAGGGGGTCGAGGAAACATTTCCAGGAAGGACAAAGTTGTAAAGAAGGAGAGTTGTTTTCATTCATGGGACTTTTTTAAATTTTTTTTTAAACTGAGGTGATCTGAAGTGGGGGAGAGCTTTTTGTGTGTGTGAGGGAGAGAGGGAAGGGGGGTTGCCCCCCCTTCTGCTTTTCTCTTGTGTTTCCCCCACCCCCCTCCTCCAGCACCACCATGGCTTCCCCTCTGAGGGAGGACGAGGAAGAGGAGGAGGAGATGGTGGTGTCTGAGGTGGAGGGGGACGAAGACGAAGAGGAGGAAGAGGAGGAGGAAGAAGGAGCAGGGGACAACAGCCCAGGCGACATATTCCCGCCTGCTGTTCAGGCTGAGGAGGCTGCTCCACTGACACCGACAGCATCCACGCCGGCGGCAGCTGAAGGGACAGAGGCGCCTCCAGGTAAACAACACCCCTTCCCCCACCCCAACCTCCCGGTCGCCCCTTTAATTTGACCCCTCAGGAGATTCGGCGCTATATTAACCACCACAAAAAAATTAGAAATCTGCCCCGCCGCCTTCGGAAGTGGCGGGAGGGCGGTGGATTTGGCGGGGGGGGGGGAGGGCGGCTTGTTTGTAAACAACTAACGGCTTTCGAACGCCGAGGGGCCGGGAGTTCCAACCCGCCGCCCTCCTCGCGCCAACCGCCGTTCCGCGCGCGCGCTGCCCAACGGCTTTGGAATGTTGAGGGACCCGGAGTTCCAACCCCCTCTTTTTTTTTTGCCTCTCCTCCCCTCGGCCCGTTGCCCTTCGCTGCATTGCCTCACCCAGCGCCGACTGCCCCTTTGCCCGGCGGCCTTTGGGAACCTTCCGATGGCGGGATGGGGGGTGGGGTCGGGGGTCCACGTCCGAGCCAGCCGCCCCTCCCCCCCTCCCCGCCGGCCAAACGGCTCGAGCGGCCGCCGAGAGTCCCAGTCTGCCTCGAAGGAGGCTGAGGAGAGCGCGTGGGGCGAGGGAGACCAGCGGGGCTGAGGTGGCGGGGGGGGGCTCTTGTTTCAAATCACCCCTATTTAATAATAATAATAATATTCGACGCTTTCTGAAAGTTGTTGGGGAGCCCTGCCCCCCCCCGTTATTTGACACCCCGTCGCAGCTTTCCTGAGGGTGTGTGTAGGGGGGGGAGGGGCTGTTTGTTTTGTAAACAGCCTCACCCTCTCCCCGTCCTCGCCTTGGGTTTTTTTTGGGGGGGGCGGTTATCTGAAAGCACACCCTCATGTATACAAATAAATAAGAGAGAGAGATACTGCTCCCATTAATTGTTGTTAAAAGGACCCCCACTTTTTTTACCTGATCCCCCTGTTTTTAGGGGGGGTTAGTGGGTGGGCACCCCATCTCGAGAATGGGAGCCATGCCAGTGTCACATGAGGGAATAAGCCCCAAACTCCCTCGTCCTCTTGAGAAGTTGTGGCAAGTGCAACTTTTTTGGGGGGGGTACACATGCACTGAGAATGTTTATTAGTACGGTTGGCAGGAAGGGTTATAAGCCTGGCACAGGTGGCCGAAAGGGCCGTGCATTTCGGATAAATGGGGGTGGGGGACGGACGCCTTGTGATTTGGGGGTAGGGAATGTGAGGTGAGGCACAGGTCAGAAAAGCGTGCCCTAGAGGTGATGGGAGCAGCTGGCTACTTGGTGGCCATATGCCAGTTTTGACAGGAGCAGAGAGGGCTGCCTGACAGCAGGGCAACAGGACTGAAGGGAGCGGAGAGGCCTGTGTTTGGGGATTATGAGAGGCAGGAGCCTCTTTGTAGTGGGGCCAGTGTCAGGATTGGAACAGGAGGCCTCTGTCGTTGAGGGAGTGGGCTTGGCAGACTTATGGTACTTGGGATGAAGATTTAGAAACTGCAGGGGCAGAACACTTTCTGTGAAAGTGTTCCGATTGGAACAAGGCCGATGTTTCATTGATCGGGGCTTATTGTTCATAGTATTACAGGCCCATTGATTGGAATCGGGTGGTAGTGGATGGCTCCTCATGGGAAAGGGACTCTGGATTCTGTGTGCGGATCAGGAGCCTTTGTTGCCTTTTGATCTTACAGAGTCAGTCATCATAATATTTATTCAGCCCCTGCATGTGTTTTTATTATTATTATTACAAAAATCAATAAAAACAGGCCCAAACCACAGATGATCATTCTAAGAAAGATGAATAAAAACGGAAGGTGAAGCACATACAGGAGAACAGTAAGGCCCAATCCATGTGACAGGAAAGGCGGTTGGACCATTAAGCAGGTCTAGACATTGAGGGTTGCGTATTGAAATGCAAGTTGGGTAACTTTGAGGCCAAATTGGTGATGTCAGGAGTCTAGCTCATATAAGGCAGTATATATGGGGGGAATTCCTCTTGCATTTTTAAAGGCCTAGACAGACTTGCCAAGACACATTCCGATAGCCCACGTAGTGGCTAGCAAGAGATACTTAAACATTAAAAACTATCACAACACTAAAAGGGTAAAGGACCCCGTCAGTTAAGTCTAGCCGCGAATGACTCGGGGGTTGCGGCGCACATCTCACTTTACTGGCCGAGGGAGCCGGTGTTTTTCCACAAACAGTATTTCCGGGTCATGTGGCCAGCATGACTAAGCCGCTTCTGGTGAAACCAGAGCAGCACACGGAAACGCCGTTTACCTTCCCGCCGGATTGGTACCTATTTATCTACTTGCACTTTGACGTGCTTTCAAACTGCTAGGTTGGCAGGAGCTGGGACCAAGCAACAGGAGCTCACCCCGCCGCGGGGATTTGAACCGCAGACCTTCCGATCGGCAAGCCCTAGGCTCAGTGGTTTAGACCACAGCGCCACCCACGTCCCATCACAACACTATGTCTTACTTAAACTGATTATCTGCCCCCTCTAATTATCGGTGACCCTCTGGTCCTCTCTTTCGGTATTGTTAAGGATATCAGATAATTTACAGATGATGAAATTACTGGTACATGTGTTTAAACAAGGTAGGTTTGCTTGCTGGCTCGCTTGCTTCTGGTTTAAATATTAGTGCAATATGAGCAAAGTGAGAAACAAAATGGCTTTCTTTCATACAAAGTTTACAAATTATTATGCTATGATAACTTGCACAGGAAATGCTTCTTTAGGGTTCATTACTGCTGACACTGACAGACAATGGCAGTGCCTTGTTTTATGGGGCATAGTTAATTCAAAAAGTGCTACCCTGTATCTTGCAGGAACAGGTAACAGTGTAAGCACAGGCTGGATATGAGTGTGCACAAGAAGTTCCTAAATACTTGATATGGTTATCTCAGAAGTTGATGGACCCTTTCCACACTCTGACTGTGGCTGAGCAAATTGACCTTGCAGCACCTGCAGTTTTGCCATTTCTAAGAAAAACTGGTTGTACGTTTCCAGAGCGATAGAAAAATGGGGGATTTGATCCTTGTAGAAAGGGTGCTACCTATCAACCTTTCTTTGATTTAATTAGATTGTGGACCCTCCAGCAACAGTTCCTGCTACTTTATGAATTAACTTTACCTGTCTCAAGCCCTCACAAAGAGCTATAACCCTAGGTGTAAAATAATTTCTCATTGAAAACAACAACTGCATTTCTGAGTATTCTTGGGAAAGGCCAGCTCCCCCCATTCTGTGGTTGGCTAATGTACAGCATATATCTTGACAGTGGAACAGCTACTTTGGTAATGGGAAACTGTATCAGAGCTGGAGGTCCCTCAGCTGGCCAGAAGCCTTTTTTTTGGCAGTAGATATTTCATCACAAGCCAGTGCTGTTTGAAGCAGTGTGGCAGATGTTGCCTGTGATTTCATCAGGAATCTGTGTGAGCTTCTGGGCTCAAAATCTAGAGGGTAATTTTCCTCCTATGATGGAACACCACAACAAAAAGGCATGTGGACTAGAATATTGTAAACCATATATTGCTCCTATTGCTTGTGGGAGGAACCTTTTCAGCCCATATCTATTATGAGGTTTTTTGTTTATAGTTGTTTATACTTTGCACAACTCTGCAAATTCACAAGGAGTTCAAACTTCAAGAACTCTGCACTGAGCATAGTAATGGAAGGGCTTGTGGTTCCAAGGATGGTAAGAGCAGTTACCAGGTCCATAGTGGAATCTCATTCCAGCTGACTTGCAAAAAAGTTGTACTTGACAATGCTTTAATTCTCCAAGAATGTAGGTGGATTTTAAAGAAATGCTTTGACACAACAGCAATCTAGGTATTGGCTCCATGGAAATGAATGTTGCTTGTACAGTTGCACAAGATAGAGTGGAAGGTGGGAGAATGCAGGAAAGCAAAGGGAAGGGAAGGCCCAGAGAGTAGCTC